ATATAATATAATATATATAATATAATATATAATATAATATAATATAATATAATATAATATAATATATATAATATAATTATAATATAATATAATATAATATAATATAATATAATATAATATAATATAATATAATATAATATAATATAATATAATATAATATAATATAATATAATATAATATAATATAATATAATATAATATAATATAATATAATATAATATAATATAATATAATATAATATAATATAATATAATATAATATAATATAATATAATATAATATAATATAATATAATATAATATAATATAATATAATATAATATAATATAATATAATATAATATAATATAATAATATAATATAATATAATAATATATAATATAATATAATATAATATAATATAATATAATATAATATAATATAATATAATATAATATAATATAATATAATATAATATAATATAATATAATATAATATAATATAATATAATATAATATAATATAATATAATATAATATAATATAATATAATATAATATAATATAATATAATATAATATAATATAATATATATAATATAATATAATATAATATAATATAATATAATATAATATAATATAATATAATATATAATATAATATAATATAATATAATATAATATAATATAATATAATATAATATAATATAATATAATATAATATAATATAATATAATATAATATAATATAATATAATATAATATAATATAATATAATATAATATAATATAATATAATATAATATAATATAATATAATATAATATAATATAATATAATATAATATAATATAATATAATATAATATAATATAATATAATATAATATAATATAATATAATATAATATAATATAATATAATATAATATAATATAATATAATATAATATAATATAATATAATATAATATAATATAATATAATATAATATAATATAATATAATATAATATAATATAATATAATATAATATAATATAATATAATATAATATAATATAATATAATATAATATAATATAATATAATATAATATAATATAATATAATATAATATAATATAATATAATATAATATAATATAATATAATATTAAAAGTCTGGAAACGGCCAATTATCTGGTAAATTGCTAGTCCTAATTGTACAAAATTTAGGGTACACCCATTGGTTAAATTCTACAATTTCACCAGTAAAAACATCAACAAATTAATATTTTACATCTACTAAATAAATAAACAATTCTCAAATAGTTCGACTGCTTTTTACCCTAATATAATGTGAAGTCATAAAACTATAAATAGCATTTTTCTCAGAATACCTAACGTCGAACACCTGTCTGCACAGCTGTGCAGTGGAACAAAGTGAGTGTCCGGCGCATAGTTGACGAAATTGGTTGAAACCGAATAGGTGCGTCAACTATGCCCCGGACACTCATTTCGTCCCAACAGTATATATTAGGGTGAGCTCGACGCGGAGTTTAGTTGTCTTTTTGCCATCATCGCTCACAGTTGTCGTTGCTATCCGAACGTTCAGGTGCTTTCTGCCGACGGACGTTACTTTCTACATTTTTACAAGCGTTTAATGCATTTTATTTTCTGGTGAAAGTTATTTCTTCTACAATTGTTATGGCATAAGAAATTCTACAAACAAATATTTTCAAGTTGGTAACTAAAAAATCAACTGTATTAGTAAATCAAATTGTGATGAACTAATATTGTAAATATTTAAAACTGTTTAGTGAAAATAAGAAAATTATTATATCTAAATGGAATCAACCACTATGTATTTACTTCAGTGAAAATAGTAAATTAAAAACACTTCTTTTTCTACTACCTATGACTCGTTAGTTATTTCTACAAAAGATCCCAATTCTTCTAACACCAGCGTCATATGCTACAGAACATTTTTACCAAAGAAATATTCGGAAGTAACACCGGTATTTTTTCACCCATTTTGGGATACGGTGATTCGAGATTTGATATTTGCAGTTGCCAGATTAGCCGTTTCTCTTAAGTTATTAGTCACTTGGGTTTTTCAAATTTATCAACCTGTCTATTCAGTCATTATTGGAATCTCCTATTCAATACGAGTTCAACCATATGTAACACTTATGATTTTATTTAGTCTGGAAGGTCTTATATTAAGACATTTTAAATAAATAAAAATGTCTTGTCTGTTAAACAAAACTATTTCATTACTGTGATGCCTTATGCTCTCATATTTATTTGATTTTTGTTTGGCAAAATGACATTTACGTACTTATCTGCCTCAGCTTCTATTAACCGTGTACTAGTAAATTTAAAAAAAGATTTCTTTTTACAAATTTTATAAGGATTATATTGACTCCAGATGCGGCTGACATTTGCTTATATGATTTGGAAATAATTGTTTTTTTAAATTTTTTCGCTTTAAATACATATCTTCAAAACATCTGTTGAGGGATATTATAGTATATTTTATTTTTATCTATAAAAGAATATAAAGCCGAATAAAAAGTATACATTGCTTACGAACAATGTCGTCGAACCGTGGGGCGCACCTGGTTTCTCCCCCCCAGAGTCGCATGGACTTGCACGGTAAGACCTAGGCTTACATACGGTGCAGTTGTCTGGGTACCGAAAAAAATTACAGCTATCCGCAAACTAGAACAAATTTAAAGAACAGCATGTCTCAACATAACAGGTGCCATGAAAACCACACCGACCAGGGCCATGGAGGGCACTCTTAGTCTAACTCCCCTTATTATTTACATCAAAGGAGTTGTTTTGATGACAATGACATGCCTCCGCATGGTTGGAATGGGACATGATGTAGGATCAGGTGAAGCAAGATGTCGCTTTGTCAGGAGGCGCTTGATACGCTCCTGCTGCCTAAAGTGAACACATACTCTATCTCACCGATATATATCTTTCATAAGCCATACAAAGTTATAACAGAACAAATAGAAGAGTCGGAAGTGTCAGGTATGATTCATTTTTACACCGACAGTTCTAAAACAAAACAAGGCTCGGGATGTGGAATATACTCCAGATTTTTAAACCTAAACATAAAATGGGCTATGAGCAATAGTGCTCATGGGAATTGTCGTAGCAGCAAAATAAATCAACAGAATCAATATCACTGGAAGGAACATGCTCATCCATACAGATAGCAGACAAGCACTACTTACCCTGGACAGACCATGAATTTATTCAATGTTAGTACCAAAGTATCCATCAAATATGTGGTAAACTTAAGATAATAATAATAATAATAATAATAATCTTTATTCAGCATTATGGTGTACATACATATACATTATAAATACACTTTTATTAGAACAATAATTATTTTTACAAAGGATAATGTTATATGTAGATAACCTAGTAGCCTATTTTATGACCTAACGGTTGCGCATAGGCTGCCAAATTATTTACTTTTATTATACATGATTTAATGTTAATGTATTGAATAAAAAGGTTTTAAAAATAGATATAATATAATGCGACTTAAATAATTACAAAAATTAATATAAACTATTTAGGTTCTTTTATAATAAGTATCTGACTCTTCATATATAAAAATAACAATTTTTTTTTTCTTTTTTTTATTTTTCTTTATTTAGTAAAATGTTAATGAATACATAAAATGTTAAAAAATACATAAAATGTTAAAAAATACATAAAAGGTTAAAAAATACATAAAATGTTAAAAAATACATAAAATGTTAAAAAATGTATAAAATGTTAAAATATACATAAAATAGTTTTATCATATTTTGCTGACGTACCCACATATTATTCAATTAATGCTCTCAAAGTTTTTCAGTCTGCATTTACAATATATTGTCTTATTAAAGTTTTGATTAGTTGAAATGAGTTTATTGTAAGTAAATATATTTTGTACATTTCAGGAAGGAAATTAAATATTTTTCCACTTAAATATAAGAGAAATCTCTGTGAAGTTGACTTATTAACGAAGATGGATGAAAGCTTACGCCACATCGAAAGGCTTTGTCTATATTTCTCGTACATCGAGCGCCCGACGCTTTTTTCACAATAATACTAGTGTTTTCCATTTACTATTGTTTTAAGCTTATTTGAAAAATTATTTTTAACTTTTTAGTTTGATATGCTCTAAAAGCGTGTTTTTTAGTTTTTTTAAACTATATTTATTATCAACTGCACTCCTGCTATTGCAGTTACGAAGAGCACATGAAAGAATTAATTTATTGTACTACATTATTTAAATATCACACAAAAAGCAAATAAAAACAAGAAAACTTGATCATACAAATCGCAATAATGAAATCACAACAATGCGACAGCTATTTGACGTAAGTTTCGCATCAATATAGCAGACTGATGCCGTTTTTGACCACGTGATCGCGTCTCCCTATGATACTACCTCAATGGACCGAATCTAAACACTCTTCCGATATACTTTGGGATTTCAGTTTCCATTCAATTTAGTACTTGCGGTTACGCAGCAAAAAGATTAATGCATTTTGTGAAGTAGGCATACAATTTTACACAGTTGTTTTTGAAAGAGAACTTTTGAGTCATGGGCTGAAATTTTCGTACATTTTGGTTTTATCGTACATTGTCCAGAAAACCAAAATTACCGTATAAAACGATCATTATCGTACATCTGGCAACACTGCCTAGCATCTGTCATCACGCATTAAGGAAGATATCTTCGGCATGTACACCAATAATCCATCATCGCTCATCTATCATCAATCAGCGGTCATCAAGGAATCTTCCGCATGTACACATCCTCTAGGAATTTTTAAATGGGAGGGTTTCCCACCTTTTTTTTTCTTCTTAAATGTCCCTTTAGAGTGCTGGCTTATCGTTGTACAAATTTAAAGCCCTCAATATTCTCGAGACATATAACAACCGATGCATTGGGAGAAAACAATATAATAACTAATTAATTAATTATTTAATAATAATACTCTCCCTAATATGCCCACTGTACAAATTTAAATATTTTGTTTCAGATTAATGAACTAAACAATGCTACAGTTATTATTAATAATAACAGCACTCGCTGTTCTATTTTACTACTATGGTATCAAACCAATGTACTATTGGAGAGAGCGTGGAGTGAAACAAACCAACAAACTGTGGGTAGTTGGAGACAACTGGAGACTGATTTTGAAATTAGAAAGTTTTACTGATATGGTACATCGAATGTATAAGTCATTTGATGGAGTAAGGTAATAGGATCTATAATTTATATACAGGGTGTAACAAAAAGATATACAGTAAATTCAACCGCTGTTTCTGGTACGAAAATAAGTTTACTGAATCAAATTTTCTTAGACAAGGTGAGTCAAAAAGTAATAAAAATATTTTAGGAGATGATAGAACAATGAAAGTTTTGGTTAGTTTGCTATATAAACTAATGTTTGAAACTTTGAAAGGGGAAATGGAAAAGCCAGTTTTTCAGTACTTACTCTCAACTGAAGCAAACTATCAACTTCAAATTTCTTGGACAGGGCGCCAAAATCGAAATATGACACAACAATATTGGTATTACTGAAGTTCATATAAAATTACCTTTTCAAAAATGTGCCACACTTTACATTTCCTATCTAAATTCTAGGGTTTGTTCAACCCGCTTGCTCGAGGCTTGAAGTGTTAATAATGCAATTAGGAAAAAAATGTGTCCCCGTCCAAACTGAAAAGAATGTAACCTGTAACAGATCTATGGCTACGCCTATTTTAGATTAGTCGATTAGTTTTGGTCAAAGATGTAAATTTTGTCTATAGTGGTGTTAATAGGAGTTCCGTTAAAGGAATGATAACGATTCTTTTAGAAATCATTCTATTGCAATTTTTTTTACTTTGGTATGTTATCTAATGTCTTCTTCTCACAGTAACAGCTCAAAAATTATTTTTTTAATGCTGAAATAAAACGCGTGTCTCGAATTTGTAAATCGCCGTCCTTAGTCTTTATCATTTAATTTTACAGTCAAAAATTATTTTTGTTTTTAACGATATTTTTAAAAATAAAATTTTTGTTATGCAAAAATATAATTTTACAGATGTTCATAATTGCTTCCGTCTTCTTATAAGCAAATTTTATAACGTCCAAATAGAAAATTTATTTGCAGCTTCAATGATTCTTATTCCTTAAATGTTGTTCCCACATTATTTTTACTGAGTACACTTCTCCTTAAATAAAACTTCAAAGTCAAAAGGATTTCTGGGTATCCAAGAAATGTGGATCAAGGCTCTTTCCTTTTCAACGTCCAATGTATTGTTTTACTTGGTCACTATAATGTGTTTATATTTTGTAATATGATACTTGTTATGTTAACTATTTTTTTAATAGTGTTTTAAGCTCTAATGATTTTGGGAGTGGGTCAGGTTATTAAATAACTCGTATTACTTTGAAAAAGAATATTGGGCGCCACTATATTTAAAACTTACTAAACTTGACTATCCATTAGTGATAAAAATATAGAAAATCACTAACAATTAAGATATTATAATTAAACAAAGTTTTAGATAAAGTAGCAACAAATTCTAATTCACAGAGACTTACTTATTCAAATTTAGATGATTTATTCACAATTGACTTATCTGTGGTACAAGAGGTAGCATAAAAGGAGTGACTTGTAGAGGCCTTCTTCGAAGGGACTCGAAACGATACTCTTCGGATAGTACAAATCTTCACAAACTTCTTCAGATGGAAATCGAACCAAACTTCTTGACACAACTTAAAATAAACCTCCTTCGATACAGCTTGAACTAAACTTCTTAATAGAAATCACCATAAACAGTATAGATATATCTTGAATCAATCTTCTGAACTATGACTCGAAATGAACTTCTTCGATACAGCTTGAACTGAACTTCTAAAACTTCTATACTTCTATATTTCTATACTTCTATACTTCTATACTTCTATACTTCTATACTTCTATACTTCTATACTTCTATACTTCTATACTTCTATACTTCTATACTTCTATACTTCTATACTTCTATACTTCTATACTTCTATACTTCTATACTTCTATACTTCTATACTTCTATACTTCTATACGTCTATACTTCTATACTTCTATACTTCTATACTTCTATACTTCTATACTTCTATACTTCTATACTTCTATACTTCTTTACTTCTATACTTCTATACTTCTATACTTCTATACTTCTATACTTCTATACTTCTATACTTCTATACTTCTATACTTCTATACTTCTATACTTCTATACTTCTATACTTCTATACTTCTATACTTCTATACTTCTATACTTCTATACTTCTATACTTCTATACTTCTATACTTCTATACTTCTATACTTCTATACTTCTATACTTCTATACTTCTATACTTCTATACTTCTATAACTTCTATACCTCTATAACTTCTATACCGTCTAGATATAGCCAGGCTACAAGGAAAAGGTGAAAATATTAATAAAGGAACTAGGAAGTTTGTAAAGGAACCAGATAAAATGCTTTTTATAATTAACTGAACAATTTAAACTATTTAGTGAATAGTTTCACAGAGACTAAAATTAATATGAAAAGAAAAAGTCTTATTTAACATATTTAAATATAGTAAAGCATAATATCTCTTTCCTAACAAAATAATAGATAAAATTATATAAAACGTTTTATCGTGTGTTATTCATGTTGAGGTTATGTTTCAAATTTGACATTTTAATTAAGAAATTCTTATACAAAATATATATTTTCAACAATATATCGGTATAAAAGCTTACCTTATAAAATCAGACGGCCTACACGATAGATAAACTTTATTTAGTACATCGGATGACCCAGATAATTAAATATTTAAATCAACTTAATCGTTGACAATCGAAATGAAAATGAACTTTTGAGGCAAGGCATAAACGACAAATGACAGATAGAGATGTTTGCGTCAAAATAACGAAAACGGTTCCAACCATTACAATGTTTGGGTCTAAATAACGAAAACGGTTCCAACCGTTACAATTTTCTAAGTAGTTTGGCAACTGGTTCTGTAAAAATTTCAATCTAGATAATTAGATGTTCAAAAATATAAACCATATAAGTATTTTTGGTAAAAAATCATTAGCATAAATTATGTAGACGTCAATTTATTGTAACTCCTTTCTGGAAAAGATGTAAAAGAATAATATTGCTTCTTCCGATTGGTAGTATTTAATTATTAGAGATATATTTTTAGATATTTAGGAGCATATCAATTTACTTCACCAGTATTGATAATTAAGGATCCAGACTTGATCAAACAAGTTGGAGTCAAGGATTTTGAATACTTTATGGATCACAGGTCATTTGTAACAGAAGAAGCTGATCCATTATTTGGAAAGAATTTGTTTTCGCTTAAAGGTATTGTTGGATTTAGTATTTTTATGTGTTCTTTAGATGCAGAATACATTCATTCGTTTCAAAGAAAATACTCTGCCAACAGAATTTTTCGCAGCACCGTATAATTATTTAATTTTAGGTCAAAGATGGCGAACAATGAGACCCATTCTTAGTCCCACATTCACCAGTAGTAAAATGAAAAGTATATTTTTACTAATGTCAGAGTGTGCCGAAAATTTTACTGATTTCTTTTTAAAAAAGAATCAGGACATTGTTGAACTCGAAATGAAAGAAACTTTCACACGTTATACCAGCGATGTAATTGCTACCACAGCTTTTGGAATCACAACCAATTCTTTACTAGACCCAACAAATGAATTTTATATGATGGGCAGGGAAGTTACAGATTTCAGCCCTCTCCGTAAAAGAATAAAATTTTTTGGTTTCTTCCTTTTTCCAAAATTATTTAGCGTAAGTAATTATTAAAAATTATTAAAAGTTATTAAAAATTATTAAAAATTATTAAAAATTATTAAAAATTATTAAAAATTATTAAAAATTATTAAAAATTATTAAAAATTATTAAAAATTATTAAAAATTATTAAAAATTATTAAAAATTATTAAAAATTATTAAAAATTATTAAAAAATATTAAAAATTATTAAAAATTATTAAAAATTATTAAAAATTATTAAAAATTATTAAAAATTATTAAAAATTATTAAAAATTATTAAAAATTATTAAAAATTATTAAAAATTATTAAAAATTATTAAAAATTATTAAAAATTATTAAAAATTATTAAAAATTATTAAAAATTATTAAAAATTATTAAAAATTATTAAAAATTATTAAAAATTATTAAAAATTATTAAAAATTATTAAAAATTATTAAAAATTATTAAAAATTATTAAAAATTATTAAAAATTATTAAAAATTATTAAAAATTATTAAAAATTATTAAAAATTATTAAAAATTATTAAAAATTATTAAAAATTATTAAAAATTATTAAAAATTATTAAAAATTATTAAAAATTATTAAAAATTATTAAAAATTATTAAAAATTATTAAAAATTATTAAAAATTATTAAAAATTATTAAAAATTATTAAAAATTATTAAAAATTATTAAAAATTATTAAAAATTAAAAATTATTATTATTAAAAATTATTAAAAATTATTAAAAATTATTAAAAATTATTAAAAATTATTAAAAATTATTAAAAATTATTAAAAATTATTAAAAATTATTAAAAATTATTAAAAATTATTAAAAATTATTAAAAATTATTAAAAATTATTAAAAATTATTAAAAATTATTAAAAATTATTAAAAATTATTAAAAATTATTAAAAATTATTAAAAATTATTAAAAATTATTAAAAATTATTAAAAATTATTAAAAATTATTAAAAATTATTAAAAATTATTAAAAATTATTAAAAATTATTAAAAATTATTAAAAATTATTAAAAATTATTAAAAATTATTAAAAATTATTAAAAATTATTAAAAATTATTAAAAATTATTAAAAATTATTAAAAATTATTAAAAATTATTAAAAATTATTAAAAATTATTAAAAATTATTAAAAATTATTAAAAATTATTAAAAATTATTAAAAATTATTAAAAATTATTAAAAATTATTAAAAAATTATTAAAAATTATTAAAAATTATTAAAAATTATTAAAAATTATTAAAAATTATTAAAAATTATTAAAAATTATTAAAAATTATTAAAAATTATTAAAAATTATTAAAAATTATTAAAAATTATTAAAAATTATTAAAAATTATTAAAAATTATTAAAAATTATTAAAAATTATTAAAAATTATTAAAAATTATTAAAAATTATTAAAAATTATTAAAAATTATTAAAAATTATTAAAAATTATTAAAAATTATTAAAAATTATTAAAAATTATTAAAAATTATTAAAAATTATTAAAAATTATTAAAAATTATTAAAAATTATTAAAAATTATTAAAAATTATTAAAAATTATTAAAAATTATTAAAAATTATTAAAAATTATTAAAAATTATTAAAAATTATTAAAAATTATTAAAAATTATTAAAAATTATTAAAAATTATTAAAAATTATTAAAAATTATTAAAAATTATTAAAAATTATTAAAAATTATTAAAAATTATTAAAAATTATTAAAAATTATTAAAAAATTATTAAAAATTATTAAAAATTATTAAAAATTATTAAAAATTATTAAAAATTATTAAAAATTATTAAAAATTATTAAAAATTATTAAAAATTATAAAAAATTATTAAAAATTATTAAAAATTATTAAAAATTATTAAAAATTATTAAAAATTATTAAAAATTATTAAAAACTATTAAAAACTATTAAAAATTATTAAAAATTATTAAAAATTATTAAAAATTATTAAAAATTATTAAAAATTATTAAAAATTATTAAAAATTATTAAAAATTATTAAAAATTATTAAAAATTATTAAAAATTATTAAAAATTATTAAAAATTATTAAAAATTATTAAAAATTATTAAAAATTATTAAAAATTATTAAAAATTATTAAAAATTATTAAAAATTATTAAAAATTATTAAAAATTATTAAAAATTATTAAAAATTATTATTAAAAATTAATAAAAATTATTAAAAATTATTAAAAATTATTAAAAATTATTAAAAATTATTAAAAATTATTAAAAATTATTAAAAATTATTAAAAATTATTAAAAATTATTAAAAATTATTAAAAATTATTAAAAATTATTAAAAATTATTAAAAATTATTAAAAATTATTAAAAATTATTAAAAATTATTAAAAATTATTAAAAATTATTAAAAATTATTAAAAATTATTAAAAATTATTAAAAATTATTAAAAATTATTAAAAATTATTAAAAATTATTAAAAATTATTAAAAATTATTAAAAATTATTAAAAATTATTAAAAATTATTAAAAATTATTAAAAATTATTAAAAATTATTAAAAATTATTAAAAATTATTAAAAATTATTAAAAATTATTAAAAATTATTAAAAATTATTAAAAATTATTAAAAATTATTAAAAATTATTAAAAATTATTAAAAATTATTAAAAATTATTAAAAATTATTAAAAATTATTAAAAATTATTAAAAATTATTAAAAATTATTAAAAATTATTAAAAATTATTAAAAATTATTAAAAATTATTAAAAATTATTAAAATTATTAAAAATATTATTAAAAATTATTAAAAATTATTAAAAATTATTAAAAATTATTAAAAATTATTAAAAATTATTAAAAATTATTAAAAATTATTAAAAAGTATTTATTAAAAATTATTAAAAATTATTAAAAATTATTAAAAATTATTAAAAATTATTAAAAATTATTAAAAATTATTAAAAATTATTAAAAATTATTAAAAATTATTAAAAATTATTAAAAATTATTAAAAATTATTAAAAATTATTAAAAATTATTAAAAGTTATTAAAAATTATTAAAAATTATTAAAAATTATTAAAAATTATTAAAAATTATTAAAAATTATTAAAAATTATTAAAAATTATTAAAAATTATTAAAAATTATTAAAAATTATTAAAAATTATTAAAAATTATTAAAAATTATTAAAAATTATTAAAAATTATTAAAAATTATTAAAAATTATTAAAAATTATTAAAAATTATTAAAAATTATTAAAAATTATTAAAAATTATTAAAAATTATTAAAAATTATTAAAAATTATTAAAAATTATTAAAAATTATTAAAAATTATTAAAAATTATTAAAAATTATTAAAAATTATTAAAAATTATTAAAAATTATTAAAAATTATTAAAAATTATTAAAAATTATTAAAAATTATTAAAAATTATTAAAAATTATTAAAAATTATTAAAAATTATTAAAAATTATTAAAAATTATTAAAAATTATTAAAAATTATTAAAAATTATTAAAAATTATTAAAAATTATTAAAAATTATTAAAAATTATTAAAAATTATTAAAAATTATTAAAAATTATTAAAAATTATTAAAAATTATTAAAAATTATTAAAAATTATTAAAAATTATTAAAAATTATTAAAAATTATTAAAAATTATTAAAAATTATTAAAAATTATTAAAAATTATTAAAAATTATTAAAAATTATTAAAAATTATTAAAAATTATTAAAAATTATTAAAAATTATTAAAAATTATTAAAAATTATTAAAAATTATTAAAAATTATTAAAAATTATTAAAAATTATTAAAAATTATTAAAAATTATTAAAAATTATTAAAAATTATTAAAAATTATTAAAAATTATTAAAAATTATTAAAAATTATTAAAAATTATTAAAAATTATTAAAAATTATTAAAAATTATTAAAAATTATTAAAAATTATTAAAAATTATTAAAAATTATTAAAAATTATTAAAAATTATTAAAAATTATTAAAAATTATTAAAAATTATTAAAAATTATTAAAAATTATTAAAAAATTATTAAAAATTATTAAAAATTATTAAAAATTATTAAAAATTATTAAAAATTATTAAAAATTATTAAAAATTATTAAAAATTATTAAAAATTATTAAAAATTATTAAAAATTATTAAAAATTATTAAAAATTATTAAAAATTATTAAAAATTATTAAAAATTATTAAAAATTATTAAAAATTATTAAAAATTATTAAAAATTATTAAAAATTATTAAAAATTATTAAAAATTATTAAAAATTATTAAAAATTATTAAAAATTATTAAAAATTATTAAAAATTATTAAAAATTATTAAAAATTATTAAAAATTATTAAAAATTATTAAAAATTATTAAAAATTATTAAAAATTATTAAAAATTATTAAAAATTATTAAAAATTATTAAAAATTATTAAAAATTATTAAAAATTATTAAAAATTATTAAAAATGATTAAAAATGATTAAAAATTATTAAAAATTACTAAAAATTACTAAAAATTAATAAAAATTAATAAAAAATTAATAAAAATTAATAAAAATTAATAAAAATTAATAAAAATTAATAAAAATTAATAAAAATTAATAAAAATTAATAAAAATTAATAAAAATTAATAAAAATTAATAAAAATTAATAAAAATTAATAAAAATTAATAAAAATTAATAAAAATTAATAAAAATTAATAAAAATTAATAAAAATTAATAAAAATTAATAAAAATTAATAAAAATTAATAAAAATTAATAAAAATTAATAAAAATTAATAAAAATTAATAAAAATTAATAAAAATTAATAAAAATTAATAAAAATTAATAAAAATTAATAAAAATTAATAAAAATTAATAAAAATTAATAAAAATTAATAAAAATTAATAAAAATTAATAAAAATTAATAAAAATTAATAAAAATTAATAAAAATTAATAAAAATTAATAAAAATTAATAAAAATTAATAAAAATTAATAAAAATTAATAAAAATTAATAAAAATTAATAAAAATTAATAAAAATTAATAAAAATTAATAAAAATTAATAAAAATTAATAAAAATTAATAAAAATTAAATTAATAAAAATTAATAAAAATTAATAAAAATTAATAAAAATTAATAAAAATTAATAAAAATTAATAAAAATTAATAAAAATTAATAAAAATTAATAAAAATTAATAAAAATTAATAAAAATTAATAAAAATTAATAAAAATTAATAAAAAATAATAAAAATAAAAAAAAATATTAAAAATTATTAAATATTAATAAAAATTGAAAGTAATTAATAAAAATTAAAAGTAATTAATAAAAATTAAAAGTAATTAATAAAAATTAATATAAGTAATAAAAATTAATAATCATGTATTTTTTGATATTATAAACACCACGCGGGAAAAGCCGCGGGCAACAGGTCCATAATTTTGTGTGTGCAGTGGTTGACTGGCATCGGGATTAACCCATTTGCCACAGACATTATTATTTTTATTACAATTGTTACCACTGATTGTTAATTGTTATTGGTTTATATGTTAATTTTAGATTCTTTAATAAATGTTATCAATGTATTAAATACTTTTTTATTGTTTGAGATCAATAGCAACGTAATATTGGTGGGAAAGGAAATCCCTATATCTAATAACTTCGTTAAAAATGTTTTTCTATATTTATTGTGGTTGTTACACGCAAATATCAAATGATTAAGATCTCCTACTGAATTATTATCACAAGAACAGAAGGGTGTCCTTAGGACACCGATCTTAAATAGGTGGGAAGGAAACCCACCATGGTTCAACCTCATCCTTGTAATGTAAATAGAATACTGTCTGGATACTTGAAATTCAGAAATGTGAGAAACAGTATTAGATGTATTAGGCTGAATTTGTGTGTAATGATTGTTTGAATTATTGTTATGTTTGAAATCAATCCAGATCTTTTCCCAATTGATTCTTATTTCTTTTTTAAAGCAATTGATAATATCGGGAACCGTGTAAAGTTCCTCGCAATACTCTAAGTTTGTGGAGTCTTTTGCAGCAAGATCTGCCATTTCATTACCAACTATTCCCACATGAGCTTTAACCCAACAAAAAACTATATTTGTATCACTATTTTTAAGGTTGATGAGTTTTTCTCTTATTAGTTTTACTAAGTGGTTGGAATTTATGTTTGTAGGATGTTTTTTGATAGACTGTAATACCGACAATGAGTCTGTTAGAATTACGGAATTACCAGCGTTATTATTTTCTATCCATTTCAGCGCATGTAAAATTGCGTTTGCTTCTGCCGTAAAAACAGAACATATATCCGATATTTTAAATTTAGATGTTTGATTAAGATAAAAATTAATAAAAATTAATAAAAATTAATAAAAATTAATAAAAATTAATAAAAATTAATAAAAATTAATAAAAATTAATAAAAATTAATAAAAAATAATAAAAATAAAAAAAAATATTAAAAATTATTAAATATTAATAAAAATTAAAAGTAATTAATAAAAATTAATATAAGTAATAAAAATTAATAATCATGTATTTTTTGATATTATAAACACCACGCGGGAAAAGCCGCGGGCAACAGGTCCATAATTTTATTATCTGCATTGCATTTGGAAAGATTTTTATTTCTCTCCAGTTATTTTTACCTTGCATATTTTTTATGTCTTTACATGTTGTTATCCATTTGTTCTATGTAAATTCTTTAATTTCCTTGTTAAAAGTATTAGATAATATGGTTTTTAGTTTTATTGTTTTAGTACGACGAATTTCTCTATATAGTTGTCTATTGTGTTTTATAAGTGGACTATGTATAATAAAATTATAGTAATAAAGTTTAATTTTTTATAAATAAATAATACCTTTCAGAAGAAACAAACTAGATTTGAAAAATGTTTAGTAATATCTAATAATAATTTTAATATTTATTGTGAAAGTACAATTTTTTTTTAGTTTTTTAAAATTGGGTTTTTGGATAAACACCATGTCGAATTCTTTACTAATCTCATTAAAGGCAATATAAGAACGAGAAGAGAGAAAGGCATCGTACGATCAGATATGATTAATATTTTAATGGAAGCTCAAAAAGGTTTTCAGCAAAAAGAAGAAAACCTAATTGACACTGGATTTGCCACTGTCGAGGAAGCTGATTTGGGCCAAACAGGTAAATATTTTCGGTATGCTTCTTTAAAAACCCCCCATTTCCTAACGTTTTTTTTTTACTTATTGTGAGACTAACGAAATATATTTTTTCATGCTATCCTACGGAAAAGCATTTCCCATGAAATAAATTTCTTTGCAAAAACAGCAGTTAATTTCTTATAGGCAGGCTTGGCAACTACTATTTCGAATAAAACTAGCATCCTGCCATATGGCAGCTAATATTAAACAGGTCGTTGGAATACCTATTTAGATTAGTAACTTCAAAATTTTTGAAATATTCTTAGATCGACACCATATTTCAATATCGCCATTTGATGAGGATTAAAATATTATTACGCAGGTTTTTGGTATCTTAATTTATTTTAACTGAACATTTACAATAACAATACAACTGATAACATTAACGTATAACGTTTGTCAATAAACTCCCCACTGACGACAGGATCACTGCATATATAGCTTGCTCTTACCTTCTCGAACTTTCTCGAACTGTCTAGACCTTGGAGGTCTAGACGTTTACTTGACGTGGAATGACATTTCCAGACATTTCTGGACTATTCTATCTTCATTTGCTAGTAATTTTACTTATGACGACCGCAGCACACTGTAGGGCGATGAGTAACATTGCACTTCTTTTTGTATTCATACGTTTCCTATAACATCCGCAGGCTAGTGCAGGTTGCTGCCTAACATTCCTCCCTCCTCTCTAGTTATTCGCCCCGAATAACTTGATTACTGGGACCATGTTGGAACTAATGAGGAAGGAGGATCTGGATCATAGTATGGAGCTATCTTTCCTTTGTGAACTACCTTGAATTTACTTCCCGCTGGCAGCTGAATGCGGCAGATCATGTCATTGATTTTCCTTAAGGACGGAGTAAGAGCCTTCCCAGTTCCTTTGCGATTTCTGACAAAGTCCTCCTTAGTGCTTGGGATTGCAAAGCCATACCTGGTCGCCCCTCTCAAAATGTGTATCTGTGGCACGCCTGTCGATTCAATCTTCTGCTTTATCGGTGTAGGCTTTCAGTCGTTCGCGAGCGAATCCATAGACCTTTGTCCTGCCATTGCATACATCATATTTTTTTACACCAATCCGCTACATCCCGTCGGCAATTGACCCAATAAAATCTTTCCCAAACTCGTGCCAGTGTCCTCTTAGTATCAAAATGGCCTCCTGAACGGCTGCTATGAAGCTCCTCCAATACATTTCTGACCTGTGATTTCGGCAGTATCACTTGGCGGACTACATCAACTCCATCGGGGTTCTCCCACTTCCGGTGCAATAGACCATCGTGAAGATACAGGGAATCCCACTGGGTCCAGTCGCCTTTTATAGTTCTACTGTATTTGGCTATCTCTTGCCGTGGGTGACTTTATTTTTGAGCCATTCTCGGACAACCTTTGAGTCATTGTCTTTTTTCTGTCCCTTTCTCAGACTTTCAAGGGTGATTTCTTCTTCGTCGTCCTCTGGCTTGATAGATGTCGCCCGAAGAGTAACTTTATCAACTGGTTCCGCTCGTTCTTCGAGCCTTTTACCATATCGGCATTGTTCCTTTAAACGGGGTTGCCCGAAGAGAATGTTAACGTTGCTATGGAAACCTCTTTCCTATAACAGCCGCAGGCTACTGCAGGGTGCTGCGTAACAATATTATTCCACAATACCACACATATTGACGGAATATATAATTTTTATTAGCTATTTATGAAACGATTTGCAAAATTTTATAAATCGAATAAATATTTGCGGGACGAGCAGCGCGAGTTCCTTCAACATAGACGAACATTTTGTAATATGTTATATATTTACTTTTTTCCAACTTTAACTAGATTATTTATAAAATTGTGTTTTGGTAAAAAAATACTGACATCTAGGCAACCAATATAACGACTCTCTTGTATTGTTAGTTGCATATGATTAACATTCTTTTATTGACAAATAGAAAATAGTATTAATTTATTTTTTCTACACCCGTATTATAATAATGCACTTATATGCCCATAATCCGTTTCATAATGATACCCATTATGATACAGATTTTTCATTACGATACAGATTTTTAATCAATAGAAACCTACTATTTTTCAATCAAGCATGCTGTTTGACGTTTGTCCTAGGTTTCTATGTAATTGTTTTAGTTGTCAAAACGTATTAAATTTTCGTAGATAGCTAAACTTCGATAATTATAATATTAAAATGTCTCATATCAGCGATATAGAAGACTCTTCCACACATATCGGAGAAAGCAGAAAATACAGTACAAAATATTTTGCAGCAAAAATCTAGGGAAATACCAATACCCGAAGTAATACCATTAATTACAATTTTGTAGAATTTTTTATAGAAATACGAGTAATTACTGTTATTGTGTTCAATACCAATATAAATATAATATTTATAGGTCTTGATTATTTATCGGGTGTAGAAAAAATAGCGTATGCAACTCTCATGTAATGGTTATTAAAACACTCGCATAGACCATACGAAACTCGCCTTTGGCTCGTTTCGTATCCCGGTTAATGCTCGTGTATTAATAACCATCATTACATGATCGTTGCATAATATACTATTTAACGACTTGTTCTAGTGTGTTTATATTGTTTGCTAAAGTTATTTGGATGAATATTCTGTCGCGTATTGTGTTTTAATTAGTTTCTGATGATTTAGTATGGAAAATAACGATTAAAACAACATTATTATTAGGTTGTAAGTTTTACCAAATTCTGTTTTTACAAGTCAATCTGCCATTCTTTGATATAAACTTTGAATAATAATGTATAATATTGAGTTTAAAACTAAAAAAGGTTTATTTTTGTTTGTTTTATTTTTACAACTGTGACATAATGATTTTTTCCAATTTTGACATATAAACTGAAATTTTTTGAAATTGCAGAAAGTGTCAAAATGATCTACTTTACGCAACCAATTGCATAATTTGAAACATTATGAAAGTGGTTACGAAAAACCCATTATGTCACCAGTTGCAAAAAGAAAACGGTCAAATATTAAACTGTTTTGATTTTAAAATCGATATATACATTGTTATTGAAAGTTTATATCAAAGAAGAGCAGGTTAATTTATAGAAATAAAATTTGGTTAACCTTAAAACCTGGTAATAATGTAGTTTAAGTCCTTATTTTCCATTCTAAATCAACATAAAATAAATAAAACACAAAACACGACCAAATAACTTACTTTCTTAAAAACAATAACTTTAACAAGTAATGTAAATACACAAAAAGTTTTTGAGATTAAATTTATATGCTATTTGACAGTAAAATCAATGAAATGCATATCCAACTAACAATACAAGAAAGTAATATTAGTTGCCTAGATATCAGTAATGTTTTACCAAAACTACACTTTTTAAATAATCTAGTCAGAATTAGAAAAAAATATTATTCGTAGCACGTTACGAAATGCCGTTCAAATAACTCGTTTCATAAAATAGGCATTTCGTAACTGGTCGCATAATATTCAACATTATACACTTGCTGCGTTACAAAAAATGTCACTTTATATGTAAAAATTAGAAAAATATTATTTTTTTAGAAAGTAATATAATTGTTTTTTTAGAAAAATTTGGAGCAAAAAACCTGACCGATATGGATATTGTCGCTCAAGCTATGATTTTCTTTTTTGCTGGTTTTGATGGGGTAGCTTCTGTGATGTGTTTCATGGCTTATGAACTAGCTGTAAACACAGATGTCCAAAACAACTTGAGAAAAGAAATAGTAGAGACGCTCAAAGAATGCAAAGGAACTTTAACTTATGAGGCCCTATTTAAAATGAAATATTTGGATATGGTCCTATCAGGTGATTATTTAAATTACTTTTTTGTGTCATCTACATTAACTGCTTTGGTTATTAGCCATATGTTCAGTGAAGGCTTTGTTACTGTTTCCTAGCGCCACTTTGGAAACAGCACTTTTAATTAGAACCCAACAGTGAATGGTCGATTGGGGAATCCTATATATGCATTGGAATTAATATTTAATTCGTTGAATTAAGATGTTACAACTAGAAATGATTGCCAACATTTTAACCACGGGTGTAATTAATCAACTAAAAGTTTTTTTTCAAAAATTACACATGTAAAAAAATGCCCTAATTGAGTTAACTGTGATAATTGTCCAGCTAGCACATAACATCCTATCTAGGTTAATAGGCTGCAATTCCGGGCTCTTTTTTAGCTCGTATGTACTGTACTTTCAATGTAACCTCATAGAGGTTACAAAGTGAAGTTCGGAGAACATCACACTATCAGTTTTACAGTATTTCCCCTGAAAGTTGTTCTGTAACGTTCCATAGATGTTATAATATGCATTAGCAATTAGTTCTACATCATTATACATTTTATCCACGGATGCACTTAACTATAGAATTTGTTATTCAAAATTAAGAAAGATTGTTAAAAATTAATTATAACTTTAATTTTACCTAACACTGTATAATAAAATATATTGTTTCAAAGTAGAAGTTATTTACAGGTCTTTAGGTATATTTAAAAAAAAACTTTTCGATATATGCTCCATTGTCGAAAAACAGAAAATGACAGAAGTACTTATTTTCAATTAGTAAATACAATACGACAAGCGAGAAGTGACCTGCGCGATGCGTAGAAGAATAAAAGAGAATGCTCCGGAGCAATATTTAAATCTAGCCCCTTCAGTGTCTTCGTTTTCTTTTTCTAGTGGTCCTTTTTGCTTAAAATGTTTGTACTTATTTCTGCAACACTTTGTATATTATTTATAGCATTTATAAATAATCGGAAGTACTTAAATTATATTTTTTAATTATTTAAATATTTTTCAGAAACTCTAAGGAAATGGCCAATTGGAGTAATGGCAGACAGAGTGTGCACTAAACCATATACCATTCTGCCTGCAACACCAGATGAGAAACCTGTACACATAGAAAAAGGCACTGTTGTTTGGATTCCAGTTTATGGCATTCATCATAATCCGTCAATATATCCCGATCCAGAACGATTTGATCCAGAGAGATTTAATGACGATAATAAAAAAAATATAAATCCATATGTCTACCTTCCATTTGGAATCGGTCCAAGAAATTGTATCGCCAATCGATTTGCGCTTTTAGAAATTAAAATTATATTTTTCCATGTTCTTTCCAAGTTTGAAATAACGCCGATTAAGACAACTAAAATTCCTTTAGAGATATCAAAGAAACAGATCAATTTACTACCCGAAGGAGGCTTTCCTTTGGGTCTTAAAAGATTAGTGAAATAATCAGTGATATTCTCATAAATTAGTGAGCTCATTTTATCAAAGAGGTTTCTAAGAAATCCTTGCTTTTAAAATTCATACAAAAAAATATTCATGGGTGCTTAATATAATATTTGTATAATAAAATATTATTGTTTCCGTAACTTCTCGTTATATTAGTTTCTAAGTTAGTTTGTATTTATATTACAATGTATTATAATGGTATTTAACTAAAATAACACTTTATTAAAAAATATTAGCCAAAAAAATATTTTTAGACATTAAATTTATTTCATCCTGTATATCAAACAGATAAGATAGATCGTTTACATTTATATCATGTATACTTCATAATATATTCATAATGAAGACATTTTACAATGTACTAGCCGACAGGAGCAGATTCACATAGCATCAGATACAGACGTTGCCAAATTGTGTCTTGTGTTTACGACGACAGCAGCAAATACGGGAAAGTTAAAAGAGTGTATCGAGTGTTTGATAGTTTTGTGGATTTTACTTTTATACTTATTTTATATTTATTCGCTCCGTGCGTGACAGAAGCGCCAATTCATTTATGTACTAATGAACTATTTTTGCCTATACTGACACAATACCATTTTTAATAGAATTCGTAATTAAAAAGTATATATGTTAATTTAAATAAAAGTATATGGATTTGTAAAAAAGGTAAAACATTAATTTATTATTATTATATATTTTTATTGCTTAAACTAAAAAAAAAAATAAGTATATTCAATAAAAATCAATAATAAAATAAAGGCAGGTAACAGTATTTACGGGAAAATGTATGAGAAGTTGCCTAAGTCTAATAAGTTGTCTCTGAAGAATTAACTTATTCTGTCAAAATAAAGAAATACCTTTAAATAATAGAGTTATTGCAAATTTCTATAACGTCAGCCACTAATAGTGACAACGTAATTAGAGGCAAATAAATTCCATGCTAAAATAAGACTTATTGCAAACCTGAAATTTTGACATTATACATATTTCTAACCTCATTTTAAAATTTTTAAATTACAGTTAATCTTTTTTGTTGTTTATAATAGTACATAATATGGAAGAAGCATTAGAAATTACCATTTTAGAAGGTTTACATGGCAATGATATTAAATATTTACTATTAAAAAAGTTCGAACTGATACGAATGTTGGCGAGCGCACCCGAAAACTATAAAGTCGCCAATAATTGCTGTCCTTAAATATCCACAATTAAAGACAGGCACAATCTTAATTAAAGTCAGTTTTAGAATGTAACTGATCTACGCATGCTTAGATGTCAAAATAAGAGCAGCACTAATAGTGACTGATCTTAAGTGAACTTGCAATAACTCTCTAATAGCGTTAAGTTTATTTAAATGTATAAACAGAAGGATTGTTATTTATATTTTGATTTTTGAACGAAAGAAAACGTAGAATGAATGATTAAAACTGGTTTCCTATCAGTAAGTCATAAAATTGCATTTAAGATTAAAGGGATGTTGAAGAACATCGTAAAATGATATTTATTGTTTATTTAAAACCATTCAAGTTTATGATGTCTACTATTTCCAGTATTACTATTATTATTACAAAAATAAAGGTAATTTTTTTTCTTATTGTACACATATTCATTTATTTCTTTGATTCAATGTCCACTTTGCTACTGAAACTTTTTATAATTTGCACTGTTTTTTTTTTGCTAGTGTTTGTACAATTTTCAACACAGCAACTCCAGTTGTTAATTGTATTGTTTTTACCTACTTTTTTAAAAAAAAAACTAAAATGTATACGTGCATTTGATATGCCAAAATTACAAAATATGGCCCAAAAATGCACGAATTATCCGCAACTAGCGCTAGTATCGCTTTTGCTTCCCCTACCATGAATTCGAACTAAGCGAATAAGTGTTCTGTGCCAATTTGCTTTTGAATGCCTAATTAAATGGGCAAATGAAGGTGTTCTTGAACAAAATAAAGACCTTTATCGATTGCTTCTAAAATAAAGAGGATTAAAAATATGGATGCGTTTTCAAAGTTACTTTACTATTTTCATTTACACACTTGTTTCAGAGAGTTATGCCCTTCCCACTATGCATAAAAACGTTAAAATAATAAGAACTGTACATCATTCATCATTTTTACTTTCCTATCTGTATACAGATATAAGGAAAGTATAGGAATCATGATTTTTTTCGACCTCGAGTTTTCGACGGATTTTTACGTTTTGAGGTCCCCTGAATCCATTTTGACTATTTTCGCGATGATGTCTGTGTGTGTGTGTGTGTGTGTGTGTGTGTGTGTGTGTGTGTGTGTGTGTGTGTGTGTGTGTGTGTGTGTGTGTGTGTGTGTGTGTGTGTGTGTGTGTGTGTGTGTGTGTGTGTGTGTGTGTGTGTGTGTGTGTGTGTGTGTGTGTGTGTGTGTGTGTGTGTGTGTGTGTGTGTGTGTGTGTGTGTGTGTGTGTGTGTGTGTGTGTGTGTGTGTGTGTGTGTGTGTGTGTGTGTGTGTGTGTGTGTGTGTGTGTGTGTGTGTGTGTGTGTGTGTGTGTGTGTGTGTGTGTGTGTGTGTGTGTGTGTGTGTGTGTGTGTGTGTGTGTGTGTGTGTGTGTGTGTGTGTGTGTGTGTGTGTGTGTGTGTGTGTGTGTGTGTGTGTGTGTGTGTGTGTGTGTGTGTGTGTGTGTGTGTGTGTGTGTGTGTGTGTGTGTGTGTGTGTGTGTGTGTGTGTGTGTGTGTGTGTGTGTGTGTGTGTGTGTGTGTGTGTGTGTGTGTGTGTGTGTGTGTGTGTGTGTGTGTGTGTGTGTGTGTGTGTGTGTGTGTGTGTGTGTGTGTGTGTGTGTGTGTGTGTGTGTGTGTGTGTGTGTGTGTGTGTGTGTGTGTGTGTGTGTGTGTGTGTGTGTGTGTGTGTGTGTGTGTGTGTGTGTGTGTGTGTGTGTGTGTGTGTGTGTGTGTGTGTGTGTGTGTGTGTGTGTGTGTGTGTGTGTGTGTGTGTGTGTGTGTGTGTGTGTGTGTGTGTGTGTGTGTGTGTGTGTGTGTGTGTGTGTGTGTGTGTCTGTGTCTGTATAACGCATAACTCATGAACCGATACACAGAAAAACACCAAATTTTAAACTTAAGCTTTGTTTTAGCGTCCAATGAGCTGATTAGATTTTGGGCAGAGTCGGAACATCTGGGGGGGCACTTTATGGGTGGTCATTTTTATATTTCATGGAATATATCTGTTATTTACGTTTGGAGAAGAAAATTCTTCAAATAAAAGTTACTTCTAATATAATTATCTATAATTTTTGTTCTATGCAAAATTTTCCTAAAATGGTCCGTATTCGAGAAATTTGACAAAATGTAAATAAAATAATTTTTTATAAAAATTGTTCAAATAAAAGTTGTTTGTAATATAATTCTCTATAATTTTTATTTTATACATAATTTTTTTAAAATGGACCGTATTCGAGATATTTGAGAAAATTTGTAAATTTCGAATTTTGAAGAAAATTCAAAAACGGATAAAGAAAAAAACATTAAATTTTAAACTTAAGGTTTATTTCGGCCTGGCGTGAAATTATTAGATTTTAGACATAGTCGGAACATCTGGGGGGGTACTTTATGGGAGGCCACTTTTATATTTTATGGAATATATCTGTTATTAATGTTTGGAGAAAAAAATTCTTCAAATAAAAGTTACTTCTAATATTATTATCTATAATTTTTGTTTTATGTAAAAAATTCCTGAAATGGTCCGTATTCGAGAAATTTGACAAAATGTGCAAAATTTTGATTTTTATGAAAGTTTTTGAAATAAAAGTTGTTTGCGATATCGATCTCTATAATTTTTGTTTATACATGATTTTTCTAAAATGGACCGTAATGAAAAAATTTTAGGAAATTTTAATTTTTCAGTATTTTCGTTTTCCATGAATATCTATAGAAAAATGTTTCGAGGTAGATGTATGTGGACAATGTATATATTTAGTTTATCCTCTAAACATTTATAGAGATGCTGCAATAGGTTGTACAAAATAACCGGAAAAATCCTATAATAACTAGATAGGAAAGTCATGTGTTGGACAGATCAGATTTTTATTCTTGTTTTCATCTATAGGATGGACTCATAACTGTCTAAGCCCAGAGTAGGGACGTTTTCTTTTGTGATGAAACAATGTAGACGTTGCGGTGATATTATAGCGCTACTTTGTTATAGCCCGGGATCCGTAAGTAATGTCGACCTTCACCCATCTGTTTAATGGATAAAAGTTTTTTTACTTTCCTATCTGTATACAGATATAAGGAAAGTATAGGAATCATGATTTTTTTCGACCTCGAGTTTTCGACGGATTTTTACGTTTTGAGGTCCCCTGAATCCGTTTTGACTATTTTCGCGATGATGTCTGTGTGTGTGTGTGTGTGTGTGTGTGTGTGTGTGTGTGTGTGTGTGTGTGTGTGTGTGTGTGTGTGTGTGTGTGTGTGTGTGTGTGTGTGTGTGTGTGTGTGTGTGTGTGTCTGTGTATGTGTGTGTGTGTCTGTGTGTGTGTGTGTGTGTGTGTGTCTGTATAACGCATAACTCATGAACCGATACACAGAAAAACACCAAATTTTAAACTTAAGCTTTGTTTCAGCGTGCAATGAGCTGATTAGATTTTGGGCAGAGTCAGAACATCTGGGGGTGTACTTTATAGGTGGTCATTTTTATATTTTATGGAATATATCTGTTATTTACGTTTGGAGAAGAAATTTCTTTAAATAAAAGTTACTTCTAATATAATTATCTATAATTTTTGTTCTATGCAAAATTTTTCTAAAATGGTCCGTATTCGAGAAATTTGACAAAATGTAAAAAAAATTATTTTTTATAAAAATTGTTCAAATAAAAGTTGTTTGTAATATAATTCTCTATAATTTTTATTCTATACATAATTTCTCTAAAATGGACCGTATTCGAGATATTTGAGAAAATGTGTAAATTTCGAATTTTGAAGAAAACTCAAAAACGGATAAAGAAAAAAACATTAAATTTTAAACTTAAGGTTTATTTTGGACTGACGTGAAATGATTAGATTTTGGACAAAGTCGGAACATCTGGGGGGGTACTTTATGGGAGGCCGTTTTTATATTTTATGGAAAATATCTGTTATTTATGTTTGGAGAAGAAAATTGTTCAAATAAAAGTTACTTCTAATATTATTATCTATAATTTTTGTTTTATGTCAAAATTTCCTGAAATGGTCCGTATTCGAGAA